CCAGAACCCTGTTTTAATAAACGCTCCAGGAGATTCTGATGTACCCTAAAGTTTGAAACCCCCTGCTCCAGTGGGTCTAAAGCTGATTAAAATTTTGCCACGTCTAGGAAAATGACCTACTTTCCCCTATTCTGTAACAACATTTCCTTAATGACTCAGCTTCCCTTCAAAGAATTCAACAGTTGAGGAGATCAAGGTAACCGCTGTCAGTGAATCAGCTCTGGAGGAATTAAGTAAATGGCAGAGGTGCAGGCCTACTCGACAGTGAAAGTTTCTTCATCATAATCCCCACCCCCTTTGCAAAAAAAAAAAAAAATACCCAAACCCGTTGCTTTTGAGTTGACCCCACGTGTTTCAGAGTAGAACCAAGCTGTAAAGGAGTTTCAAAGGCTGTGATTTTCCATAGGGTATTCAATGGCTGTAACCTTACAGAAGTATATTGCCAAGAAAGGTGTCGCTAGGTGGATGTTATGGACTGAATTGTGTCTCCAAAAAATGTGTGTCCATGGCTAGTCCATGATTCCCAGTATTGTGTGACTGTCCACCATTTTGTCATCTGATGTGATTTTCCTATGTGTTGTAAATCCTAACCTCTATGATGTTAAGGAGGCGGGATTAGCAGCAGTTATGTTAATGAGGCAGGACTCAACCTACAAGATTAGGCTGTGTCTTAAATCAATCTTTTTGAGATATAAAAGAGAGAAAAGCAAGCAGAGAGACAGGGGGATCTCATACCACCAAGAAAGCAGCGCTAGGAGCAGAGTTTGTCCTTTGGACACAGGGTCACTGCACTGAGAAGCTCCTAGACCAGGGGAAGATTGATGACAAGGACCTTCCTCCAGAGCCAACAGAGAGAGAAAGCTTTCCTCTGGAGCTGACACCCTGAATTTGGACTTCTAGCCTACTAGACTGTGAGAGAATAAACTTCTGTTTGTTGAAGCCATCCACTTGTAGTATTTCTGTTATAGCAGCACTAGATGACTAAGATAGTGAATTTGAATCATCAAGCTTTCAGTCAATAATTGAGTGCAAATTCTGTTTGCCACCCAGGGACAGTCAGGTTGAAACGAAGACTTAAAGTGTCTTAAAGGTAAAAAATCAACGTTTCAAAATCATTTTTCCAGTACAATGGTTCAGAAATCCTAACCAGGCATAATAGGAATCCATTCTTCTTGTCTAGGAAGTTTTTAAAAGATAAATTTAAATAGGAAAATCCCTATAATTTTTCAAGTGCATTTTTAAAAATTTTAATTATTAGATTCACCTCTCTTCTTTAGGAAAATGTTTTATTATTTTTGGTACTGAACCCTCTTATCGTTTATAATAATTCTTCATACCAGATGTTGCCAATGAACTACTTCTCTTTTTTTAAGGCTCTTACTTCTCATTTGAGAAAACACTTTCTTTAAAGGCATTGAAAGCAGCCAAGACCACCTTAATTCCACAGCACATACTTTCTGTAAAATCATTTTTCTTCCTCCCATTACCACCCATACACCCATGCCCATGTCAACACATCTAATATTTAGTAGCCCTGAGAGTTTTAGATTGCCTTATTTTAGATGCTAGAGAGATTAGAGAAGGGCTTGAAAGACTCTTGCTTTGAAAAATAACAGCTATTAAACATATACACACAGAAATTCAATACTCTGCTTTGGAATCAACCCTGAGATAAGAAAACCTAAATAAACAAATAGGTATATTTTTAAAAATTTTTCAAATTATTTTTAGTCTGACTAGAAATTATTCAGATATTTAATTTTCTATGAGGCAGCTGAACCTTATGGAATATTACCAATCTCAAATGTGTTGCTCATTTGAACTATGTAATCTAAATTCAGGTTACTATTACATTTCATATATTTTCTCTAACTTCCCACAATGTTAAAAATGTTTTCCCCTATTGTTTTAGATTTAATTTCTTAAATTACATTACACAGAAATGTCAGTTTTGTAAATATTTGTCTGATTACTATAGCAATGCAATATTGACAAACTGTACTTCATACAATGGCCTATTTTAAGTCTTAACAAGTAAAATGAAGGTCTTAACAAGTATAATGAAAAAATTGACTTATTCCTAATTGAAAGTGATGGAAGGAATATTATTTTCACCAGAAATAAGGGAAAATAAGCCACAGGAAATTTGCCCTCATCATAAAATAAAGCTGAGCCAATACTCCAGTGATGATATGGAAATCTTGTATATATCTGATGATTCGCATATTCAAAGACAAAATAATTTAAACAGCAACATACTGAAGCCACAGTATTATCTTAGCAGGCACAGACACTAATATGACACCATTCTAGAATGCTACTTGTTGCATTTGTAATTCAAAGCACATAAAAAAGGGGGCATTTTTCAGGTTTACAAATAAGTAAAATTAAAAAGAAAATTAAGGTACACTATTAAAGTGATGGAAACTTTCCTTGTATGTATGCACTGTATTTTGTAATACCAGATAATTCTGCGTTAGCACCAGTTCTCACAACGTGGACAGACACCTTCTCTTCAGTGCCTTCCTAGGAGATACCCCAGAAGCTACTATTTTCCATTCAGCTCCATTTTGGAGCTTGCAAGCAGTCGCACGCAGCATCCCCACCAGTATTCATCCAATCACAAAGGGGAAGAAGCCATACCCCGAGGCGTTATCTACAGAAAGTAGCACCATGGCAAGCACTGAAACTGCACCCCTGCAGAGCCCTTCCGGAAGTCAGGAGCACCCAGAGGCAATCTCTAAATTGCACCCCCCTCCAATTCAAGCGCCAGGAGCAATCTCTAAATTGCAGCCATTCCCTACCGCTACCCACCCCAACCCCAACCCCTATTTCAAGATGAATAGACATTTACAGTGGTGCCGCGTCAGTAGAAACACCTTCCCCCCTTGTCCGGCTGCCTCAGTCAGCCATCTTTCATATTTGTCTGGCACTCCACCCCCAGACCTTGAGCTCGCCCCTGGGGGCAAGTACGCGTTCTGTCCTCCTTCGCTATGCTTCTGCACCCCGTCCAAACATCTGACACCCATTTTTGAGATAACTTTACCACAATATCAGCTCAAAAATACAAGTGAAGCTCATTAATCTTTTCCTTAACACAGTATGGTACTACATGAAAATTACAGCTGTACTTCCTTGCTTTCACTGATGAAAGCTGGTCTATGATGTGCTCAGTCATTTTTTTTTTCTCTTTCCACACTTAGAAGAGAAAGATCACTCAGTCTGCCTTGACCCATGGAGGCTCTCAAATCCTAAAGTATTAGTTTTAACTTGCTGAATGTTCTCTCAGTTGGCGATGAAAACTGTGACGGTTCATAGAAACTGCTCAGTGGCACCCCTTCAAGTGGTGCCCAGGGCACGTGCCATGCCTACCATACCTTAGATATGCCTCTGGTTCAGGGCAAACAAAACATAAGAACTGAGAAGGAGAAAACTGAACCTTTAAACTAAGAAAATAGTTACAGAGCAAGTTACTTTTGTGTTGTCCTCAATGACCTCCTGGTCACAGCAAAATGTGAATTAATCTAAAATGTTAATCATTAGGAAAAATAGCTAAGGGATCAAACTCTCATAGCTATAGTTGTGGTTAGACAAGCTGTTTTCTAAGGACTACAGCAAAAAAAAAAGTTAAATCATCTTTTTTTTTTTTTTCTCACAAATTTTCATACACTCATATTAAAATTAGGGCACTTGGGAGGGCAAACAAGCCAAGATTTTGGATTACTTATACTAGGGCGAATTCAATCTTAATCTGAGCAATTAGGACTAAGCAACTCAGTTATTACACGTATACTAACAATTTGTTAAAACACAAAACTGACAACCTTTTAAAGACTATATACTTAGAACTTTTCAGCAATATTCTGAACATAAAAAAATGTTTTCAATATCATTGCATTTCTAGTCTAGAATGACTAAAAAGATTATGAAAGCAACTCTGAATCCAATGGTGGTGAAGCGGGCAGTATTATTCTTCAAAGGAGAACATTAACATCTAAAGTTTTTACCACATAAGAAACAAATTTTATTAAGTATGATTTAATGTTTAGCAAATCTTATACAATTAAGTTTTTGTCATGGCTTAGGAAACAGTATGTTTTATCAAAGAGTGAAATGTTTGTTGGTGTTGGTTGTCGTCGAGTCGATTCTGACCCGTAGCAACCGCATGTGTACAGAGTACAACTGCTCCATACGGTTTTCAAGGCTGTGACCTTTTGGAAGCAGATGGCCAGGTCTGCCTTCCAAGGTACCTCTGGGTGGGTTTAATCTGCCAGTCTTTCAGCTAGTAGTAGGGCACTTAACTATGTGTGCCACCCAGGGACTCTTTATTTGGAGTATATTTTTAAAAATTAAATAGATGCTGAAAATATACTTCTGTGAAATATTTTTTTAAGTACTGAGTTTGGCTATTACACATGGTATAAATCTGAAGGAATCAAACTCCTCTGAAATGAAAAGCAAAAAAAAAAGTTTTATGCATGTAACACTAACAGACTCACCTCACCCTCTAATCTAACTGATTTAGTCAATTCTAGAGAAGCTACACCACCTTCAAGACCAATTTCACCACCGATCAAGTCTTAGAACATCTGGACATTAATACCATACGCACGTTAACTCTCACCCAAAGAAACATATGATCAAAAGCAGTATTAAGGTAGAAGCACTGAAAATATTTATACTTTTAAAAACATTATACAGAAAAAAATGTTCTAAAACACCATACGATAGGGATTAGTTTGTACCGGTATGATTCAAAAGAAAAATGTGCCAATGGCCATTATACAAGGTACGCCATTATGCACCAATTTTGTAGGAAAAAGAGTAAAAGTTTTGTATAAAGACATTTCCCATTTTCTATATATTTTATGAAGAAAAAATGAGTTTAGAAAAAAAGTTTTTTCTATAGGATTGTTCAATCACTAAATTACTTCTCTAGAGCAGCCCTAAATAAGTCGAATTTGGAAACCCTTCTAAATCGTCAAGATTTTCTTGATCCTTTAATTTGTGTAAAATCAACATTCATTCAACTATATTTTTATGTCATTTGCAGAAACTACTGAGTAACTTCATTTAAACTGCTGTTTTAATTATAATAAATTGTATAAAGTTGCAAAATCACATTAAGTTCTGATTTTTTGATGAAGAAAGGAAGTAACTCTCTCATCCCTTCATTCCTTGAATTTGAGTGTTTGGTAGGGGGTGGGGAACTCACAGTTATAGTGGAAAGTTATGCATCTTTAAGAAAAATAATTTTATATATTTTAAAAGTGGCATTGAAATACTTACTTTTAAATGAGACAGGTCTCTTCACACCTTAATCCATCAGAATATCAGCATTACAATCAATGCGAATTTTCTATTCAAGTTCTCCACTTCTATCTCAATCCCTTTCCAACCCAATGATCCTGAATAGCCGTTCTTTATGAAGAATTTGGTTGCCACTTCTTTAAGAGGATCTTTCTTCCTGCTGACTATCCTGCTTGTCTTTTTTCCTCTTTCTCCTTAACCTTTAGTAAGAAAATGCTAAATTATCAAAAAAGAGGCACAGGAGAGATGTAGTGAGTGGAAGATAGAAGGAACTGCTGGTATGTGGAAGAGAGAAAGATGGAAACAAATCACCTCTCTCTCTCTAAAAGTATACACAGAGAATTAAGGATTTGGTGGCCTACCCACATATTTAAGCAGGAAGTAACATGCAAGAAAACAACTTAAAGCTGTGGCCAGCCTTAAGATTTTCTAAAAACAAAATGGAAAATGTAAGAGTCAATCAATGGGAAGTTTGAGTTTAATGAGCTACACATTTATTACACAGTTGTTTTCTTAAAACTAGCTTACTTGAAGTAAGAGAGTAATTTTGTTATTTCAATGAAATATCTACTGTTATAGAAAAAGTATAATTGATATGATCATATGTACTGTGCATTATTTACAAAATAGACTATGGAAAGTTATGCTGAAATGAAAGCCGACTTGGTGCTTCCTAAACCAATCATGAGCTAAATATAAGGAGCTTATTATTATAACTCAAAACACTGAGTTCACTTAATCGTAGTAACCCAGAACAAGGTTGGCCTTGTAAAGTTATGGCAAACAATTCATTCCTTAAAATTAAGACTAAGTGCAGCCTAGCAAAGAAAAATTAACTACAAATCTGGTAAATCAACATTTTGCTTACTCTGCAGTGCCTAACGGTAAGTAGCATATAACTTTACTTTTATGGTTAAAACATTCTTTCCTTAAATTATAACCTACATATAGCTATCAGAGAAGGATATCCAAGAATCCTCTCAGACATATTTTTATCTTCAGGCCAGAAAAGGCCCTTTCGTGTCTTGAAACTTGGTTCTTTGTCAGCAATGTTGCCTCTGTACAGCATGCCCTTCCTGCTGCTTCTCTGGGAGCAAACTCCTGTATGACTTTCAAAACCTGACTCAATGATTATCTTCTATGAAAAGTCTCCTCTTGCTTAGCACTGTTACTTGTTAGGATCTTATTATTTTCACAGCTCTTTATACATCACTCTTTAATAAAGCCAACCAGTTGCCGTAGAGTCAATCTGGACACGTGGCAAACTAATGTGTGTCAGAGTAGAACTGTGCTCTGGGGTTTCAATGGCTGACTTTTTGGGGAGTAGACTGCCAGGCCTTTCTTCTGAGGCACCTCTGGGTGGACTCCAACTTCCAACCTTGGGTCAGCAGCCATTTGCACCACCTAGAGAACTGCTGTTTAATTTAACTGTTTCTGTATCTGTCTCTGCACTGTTTTACATAAGCTCTTTGATGATGTCACCACTGTCACGTTGGTAGTCCCAATGCCCAGAGCACAGTGCTGGAGACAGTTTGCTGAAGGAACTAAATCTGGGACCTGGAAAAGTTATATATGGCAAATACTAGTCTTCAAATATGTGATTGCTGTATGTTAACTCATAAAAAAAGAAATACCATATTCACTAGTGTTCCAGAAAGCAAAATATTACCAAGGGGTAGAAATTACAGGGAAGCAGAGATAAGGCAAAAATTTCTAACTGCGTACAGCTGCCCAACTAGGGGATGGTCCTTCCTATAGCATATGGTGAGCACCTTGTCACCAGACAGGAGTCAGCGGGGCCTGTTTCCAAACTTACTGACAACCAGACTGATGTTCTTACAAAATTGCATATTTATCCTCAGGTAAAGCTCCCTTTCAGAAAAACATTTTTATTTTTATTTTTTTATTAGAAAAAAATCCAAACACTTAAAATTCTTAGGCCCATTTAGTCAACGAAACCACTTAGTTTTTAAAAGACAATAAACTAAATGTACTAACCACTATCATGTCTCTAGATTTTTTTTAAAGATGAGGCATCTTGCAAAAGTAAATTTTGAATTACTATCAAAATAAATAAAGAGAAGGAAAAACTAAGACTCCTGTAGAGTCATACTAATAATGACAACTTACTGGATAACTTCATTGCTATTACTAGTATGTATACCGCATTATAATAATTCATGTGAAAGTATGCCACATCGGGGGTCCAATCATACACCACTGGATGTTAATTAAACGCCTCATGCTACTGAGGGTGAAACAGCTCACTGCGCACCAAAAGTGTGATTTTAAGAAAAGGGGGCAATGTGGTTGCTATAGAGACCTTACACTTCAAAGGGCAAATATTTAACTTTAAGTCTCTTAGCTTTCTACAGCATGTAAAAATTCATTTTATAACATTTTTATGATAAACATAGCATATGATCGTTGAAGAAAATCTCTAAAATGAAAACACCATAAAGAAAAATCATCATCCATAACCAGTACTAGTACTGTGCTTTCTTCAAATATATCTTTATACAAATACACACACACACACACTCATACATTTGCTCACATGCATGCACACACATCTACACAAATAATTTCTGTGCTGTCTGGTGTATGAACATAATTTAACATGAACATTATTTTATCTATTATATATAGTCCTTAAGTTATGTGGAAAATTGAATTCATACATCTAATTATATTTCTGACTAACTTGCATCATAATTTCAGAGACATAAAATTCTAATTTCAGAAATGCAAAAATATTCCACTTCTAAAACATAATAAAATAACGGCATTTGCTGATAAATACAGTTGTATCTATATACTTAAAACCCCCACACAATCCTATCTTTTTTTTTTTTTTTT